GGAATGCTCTCTTTTTCCATTTGGAGCTGAGCCATGTGTGTTTGGGTTTGTTTTGTTAGTGAGGTGGTGGGGATCAGTGGTAGATCTTCCCTGCTTGGTAAAAGTCAAGAAAATAAGGTTGTTTGCCTGACACACCGAGGTTGCTGCGGGGACCCTCTTGCTTCCCCTTTGTACACTGACCTACAGCCTCATTTGCTTTAGACTGAAGGAGATTCCAGATTGTCTAGGATTTGGGTAGTTTGGTTCAAGACCAGAATTTCCACCTGGGTTCTAGGCAAGCTGATGACTATTTGGTTTTTAGAAGTTTGTGCTCTGTGGTTGAAAGGCTGTGTGTGTTCTTGTCATTTCAATGGCTTCCTTGAACTTTCTGGAATTCAACCCACAGGACTCATATTTAATATACGCAAAAAAATTTTTTAGTTTAGAACATTCTCAAGTGGTGGCAAAATTCCCTTGTACTGCAATTTTACTTCATTGAATTCTGCCAAAAATAAAAAACCCATTGGGGGTATTTTGAAAATTTTTGGCTTACACAGAGATTTCCATTGTCATGGTAGTTTGTCATGATATCTGACCTTTGCTGTATTAAAAGACATATAGAGTTTCAAAGGACCTCTGTGGCCAATGGCATTTACTTACTTACAAGATATGTAACTACTTTATAGGCTCTGAAATAGCCAAATTAGATAAAGTTACAACGCATCTGGAATGCATAGAAATTCTCCCTGTGTACAGCTGGAGTGATGGGTTGGAATGGCTTTCTCCTCTTTAAACTGCCAGCTAGTCCAGGTCTAATTTCAAAGTTATCAGCTGCCCTTGATAATTCTGACTACTTACTTGCATACCAGGAGACTTTAACTGGCCTGTAACCTACACTCTACCCTATTTAAGCCTCCAGGCATGCATGGTTATGAAAGTTACATGGGTAAAACAGGACTGTGCCCGTGGATTCTACTAATTCTGAGATGTGGAAAACAAAATCAGTTACTCAGAAGAGTGATTGTGTTCTGTGCGCCACTGCAGCAACTCAAAGGAAACCAGTTACTAAAAACAAATGTCCAACACCTTGCACAAGCAGTATTTGCTACAAAAGTGCTGTGCACAGTGAATCAATCGAAGTGGTTTCTTTCTGTTGCAGGATTACTTAAACTGGAAGTCTCCAGAAGATTATGTTCTGGTCAGCAAACCACAGGATAAGGGCGACCCCAACCAGCACATATGGAGCCTCTTACTCCCTAAAACTTTCAGCACCAGAAAGGGTGTCCTAATCCTCTACTCTGAAGGTTTAGCCATATCAGCATGGACACCCGAAGAGAGGAGAAAAGGCTCCTACCGCCCCAAAGGCCACAGGAAAAGCCTGGATCCTAACCTACTCACACTTCAGGACCTCAGAGAAGCCATCCTGGCATACGAAAGGAGACAGGTAGGCAGAGCTCTGTTGCACAGTTGGGGACTGCATGTCTAGAAATCCATTTGTAGCTTTGGGTATGAGTTCTTCTCAGATCCCAGGGAAAGCAGGAAACGCTCAGCCTCCATTTCTTCACCTCTCTAATGGGACTGTACTCTTGGCCCTATCCGCCACACACGACTGTCACGAGGTCTAAATGAGGCGGTGTGAGTGAAAGGGCTCTGAAAAGCAGAAAGGATTAGATTATCATCATCTTGTGTTTTCCTTTCTGTTAGAGTAACACAAAGTCCTTTTCAGCGTTCAGACAGGTGCAGGCAAGCGAAGGTTGCATCAGCATCCTTGAGAGCCTGCCTTAGAGCGACAGGCAGCAGCATCGCACCTCGGATGTTCATGGCTTTGTAGAAATGAGAGAGAACATTTTAAATATTTACGGTGAGCCCTTCAGCATCTGCAGGATAAGTTAATGACTTCTTTCCATTCTGAATTTAATGTTCAGGAAAAACCCTGTGCTCATTCTTCTGATTCACACTTTTTAATATCTTACAAGATGGACACATGGCCCCCACTTCACATAGCTGCATGCATCAGCCCTTTGACCGAAGCCATGAGAGATGCTGGGGAAATGTGGCACTTGATGAAATTCTAAGTTGTAGATGATGGGTTACTCCTTAGTTTAAAAGTCTCTGCTGGCTTCTCATTCCCCACGGGATTAAGTCATTCGCTTCTTACACCAGGCCCCTCACATGTGACTTCCTCTTCCATTTTTAGCCATATCTGCCACTTGTTCTTACTGCCACCTTTACTATGGACCCCTCAAAGCTGTACCCATGGTAATAGCTCACCATTCCCCAAACAACTCACACCCTTTCATAACTTTACCCTTTTACACTGCTTGCACAGCTGGAAAACTGCTCACCCTTCAAAACACAACTCAAATGTCATCTCCTTACTGAAGTCTTCTCCCACCGCCATAGGCAAAGATATCCCATTGCTCCCTCTTCTGCACACATCCTCATACCATCAGGCACTTTGATTTATCTCTTTGCCCATCTCTTGCCATCTCCTTGAATGTAAGGACCATGTCTAAGTCATTTCTAGAAAATAATGAGAGCCCATAAATCTTTGTGGAATGAATGAATTGATCATGTGTGATACTTTCAATGATTCTTACATCATCTTTCAGTATCATTATTGGGCAATATATCACCTATTCCAGTCTAGGCAGAACTTCCAAAAGGAGAGAGTCCTCTGCCCCTTTTCCTTCTTTCAATATATTGAGAACCTGAATGACCTTGACCAAATGCCCAACTGTCCTTTGCCTTAAAATCTCATATATATTTTTTAAAATATTTTTTTATTTTTAAATTACAGTTGATGTATAATATTATATTAGTTTCAGGTGGACAAGACATTTATATAACTTCCGAAGGGATTACCCCAATAAAGTGAGTACCTATCTGACACTATATATAGTTATTCCAGTCATAAATTCTTGAATCACAGGAAACCAATTTTTGTTGAATGCTTACTATTATTTTATAGCTATTATTTTATTTAATCTTTATAAAGACCCCACAAGATATCGCTTTTCTTGTTCCCCTTTTGTAGAGGAGGAAACTGAGGCTCAAACCTCCATTAACTTAACTCTAAGTTAAGTAGCTTGTCCAAGGACTCAGAGCTAGTAAATGACAAAGGCAGTATTCAAACGCAGGACTGCCTACGCCTCCAGGGCAAGCATGCTTTGCGCTTCACCCTATTATCTGTGGACTTGGAAGGGCCTCCGGAAGTCACTGTGGCAGGCCTTGGCCTGTTTGCATTCACATCCACTCTTCACCCTTACTGTATTCTGCTCTGCAGCACTCTGAGATTGACAACACACTACATATAATTCTATAAACGTCTGTGTCAACTGGCTTTAAAATGAATTTGCCAATAGAAGACATTGGAAGGAGATTGGAGAAGGAGAAGAGAAAAGCCAGTGTATTTCTCTCCTCTCATTCTACCTGTGGTGGTGAGAAGCACTTGCATCACCTCTGTGGCCCGAGCCCAACAGACAGGCCCACTGTGGCTCCAGGCTCCTCCAGGTGACCCCACCAGCTCCTCCCTCTGTCCTTCAGTCTAAGAGTGGCACTGACTTCCTAATGTTACTAATCTTAGTAACTTCATCATCTTTTTGGTTTTTAATCACCTGTGTAACCAATTCCCTGAATTAAATTTCTTTTTTGTTTTCCTAATTGGACACTGATATGTAGGTTAACTTACTACCCAGAGAAGAATTCCTTCCACAGCTTTCAGATGCTTGTCTATATGGCTTAAATGTTTTGGGCAACAGGGATCTTATTACTTTAGAAAGGAGATGAGTCTTTGGGGGGACTGCTTCATTTTTAGTTAGATCAAGCTCAATGAAAAAAAAGTTTCTATCTCCCTGTAGTATTTATCTACTAGATTTATAATATATACCTGAACAAAATAGAACACTGTAGTCTAACTCCAAATGGGTAGAAGAGAAATGGTGTGAAGAAATCAGAAAGGAAAGAAAAGGTTAGGGATACTAACAGGGCAGGAATTTATGATAGAGACTTAATAGATTAAAATTAGAGAAGTAACTCAAAAAGGGCTTGGGATTTTTAAAAAATGAAATCTCAGAAGAGGAGGGCTTTGGAAACTACAGAGCACTATCTATGAAAACTACAGACTGGCAAGAAAGTTGTTAAATCATAATATCCGGGGCTGGGAAGGCTATGGGGAAATGGGCTGTCTAATATTTTAGGAGCACAAATTCACATGACATATCTGGAAGGCATTTTGGCAAAAGCCTGAAAAAGGGCTGATGCTCTTTGATTCTACTTTTAGTAATTTGCCTTAGGAAATAATCAGAGAGGTGCCCAGAAATTTGTGCACCAGAATGTTTACTGCAGGGTTATTTATTACTATACAAAATATTGAAAATAATAAATGTCCAACAATAAAACATTGATTAAATAAATTATGATACAATCATAGGATGGATTTGGGGTCAGGCATGAAGTCATGTATCATTCATGAATAATGTGAGAAAATATTCAGTGTATTTTTTAAAAGCAGGTTACAAAATAATATTCACAAACAAAAATACCAACATTCATTAACAGTTTTGTGTATTTACTATGTTCCTACCATTGTTCTAAGTGCTTTCCATGTATAATTTATTTCTGCTTTCTATGAATACTGGGGATACATACTATTATTATCCCATTTTAGAATTGAAGCACAGAAAGTTTGAGCAATTCACTCAAGAGTATGCAACCAGGCAGATAATCACACCAGAACTTGAGACTAGGCAGTATAGAAAACATCCCTCTAATATAATTCCAAATTATATTTGATTTGTGCAGACGGATACATATCAAAATTTAACCACGGTGAAATTATGTCCTATTTTTATTTATATCTCTTTTACCAAATATTATTTTTTAAGTCAGAGAATTTTTTAAATAAAATAAAAATCATGGCTTTGAAGGAGGTAGACAGTGAAAGAGAGAGAAAGGTTGACCCTGGAGAGCCAGGTGGGATCAGGATGGGAAATGGACTAGAAGCTGCTGTAAACTGAGCCCAGCGATAACCATACCATCTGTTCTGCAGGGTTGGTATATCCTTGCCCAACTAGCATAGCTCAAGAGTTAAAAACACCATACTCAATGTAAAAGAGCCAAAATGGGGAGGGGGAAGAAAAGGAGGGGATGGTTAATGGATAAAGTCGTGCTGCTTACAGAAGAATCTATACTGGCTGAGCCGTGAACCAGGAAACCTACAAAATGTAGGCTCCATTCAGGCCTGTGAGAATTGGGGCTGTCACAGAGAGCTGCAATTAAATTTTTAAAGCATCTTACATCACCTCCAGTTCTATATATGAATCTAATGAGATGCGTGTAGCAATATGTCTGGGTTTTACAGCTCAACATACACCTACTCTTTAACTCTCCTGATGACCCAACTTGCTAATGAGCAAAGATAAACGCTAAGTCAAGAGATTAGATGTCAGAGTTCTCACACTTCTAGATACACATAGATATGTTGCTTGGATTTTTTGTTTTGTTTTGTTTTGATGTTTAACAGAAGGACATATTGTTCAAACATTCCCAGAGTTAAAACCATTTTCCCTGAGGCTTTTTATTCTTCAGCTTCCAACAATGGAACACTGACTAAATAGTGAATTAAAAGTAATTTGTTTTAAAATTTCAATTCACAAAGCACCCCCATGTCTCTATCCCATTGAGGGATAAACAGGACTTAGATTACTATGGCTGATTTCAGCCAAGATTATATTGCTTTTGCCATGTTCCTCATGGCTAAGGTTACATTTAAGAAGATGGTCAACTCGTTCCTCGGGATGTACCCTGCCCGCTCTACACTGCCCCCTCCTCCCCACGTCTCCGTGCTCTAGGCACTTAGCTCTCGGTGGTGTTTTCAGTCAATGCCCCCCCCATGAAGGTGCTTGTGGGCTACTATTTTATCAAGTAATATTGTGAGAAATATATTTTTTATTAAAGTTTAACTTCCCATCCTAAACATAATGGCTCATCATACAAAATAGAAAAACAGAGGGAAGTAGGGAGAAGAAGAATTTATCCTTTCAGCCAAAGATCAGGAGGACAAAGGTGCCTTTGCAAGTGCTTTGCAATGACCTGCCGTTTGTTTGCCAGTGTCCCTAAGAAGTGATTAGTGCTCTGACGGCCATCAACAAACTGTCAAGTAGGCACCAGAGCAATGAAGGGGAGAAAGAATGACTTGACTGTACTCCTTTCGCCCAGAATCCATCATCTGAGCAGCTCCTGAGCAGTTGTACTTGGAGCCTTTAATAAACCTAGAAATACAAAAGATCAAGAAAGACTCCTGTGTCTACCATGATAATGAGATCAAAGGCAGTGTCAGTATAGCTAACGCTTACGAGTGCTTAGGGCATTTTATCTCTATAGCCTCTATCTGCTTAAGCCTATGAGCTGGGTGCTAGCATTACCTCCATTTTGTGGGAAGAAA